CTCGACGCGCCTCTATCTCCCCTGCTATCTATATCACAATTAACAGACCTAAATAGACTGGTGAATGATTGATGGAATGAAATATCTGATGAAAGGGCTGCTAGTAACCAATTTGAACGGTAAGTGGATAGAATGAAAGAAGAAAGGAATGATCAATCCAAGGTTCATTATAATTTATAAAATATCTGAAAAGTTTGCTCTTTAGAGAAGTGTCGTATAAGGAGCTGGAGGCTACGACATGTATTGAATTTGCTACGTGGCTGCTTGTTTATGCAAGGTTCTTTATCGTATGACCCCACGCTCGTGCATTTTCTGTGCATATATGTGCTCCAAACAAGCCATGGCTTCGCTTACCTGTAAATACTAGCTATGCTCCCCATTTTGTCTTCTTGTCCTCTTCTTCCTCTATAACAACACTTCCCAATATAATTGAGTAAACATTAAACAAACAAACATGCATTGTCAACATATACAGTGTAACAATTGACTACTACTTTTGTTCTATTGTTTTGCAGTCAAGTTACAAATTAAACTCCAACATCATACAATATTTTGATGATCAAAATTTGGATCGACTGATATTTTTGCAAGTGTTAATGAACCAACGAAAGTGGATATGCTAAAGGTAGTGGTAGACGTACCAATTCAGTGTCATGTATCATTGCACCGGATCACAAGGACAATTTGGTCAATTGTAGACACAAAGAAGATATTCTCTTCTCCAATAATAGCGGAAAACTTAGAACCGCCGGTGCTTGAGTCTTGATAGAAATTTGAGGAAAATAAATATATATGATTAATTAATAAAATAATCTATGAGGGAATGAATGTGCCACATGTAAGGGTATCAAGAATTGGGAGGCAGATATTTGCTTTAAGTGCCAATTACCCTATCAAATCTAATCAAACGACACCAACTTTATAGCCGGAGAAAAATCTACTCATAATTGTCTTTTTCACCTCCGTGGTAAATTCAGGTCAGACTTGATTAAGTCAATCAGGTTTCTAAGGTTTAACGAGACAATTACTGTTGATAATATCGAATTGGATTGGTAATATCCATTTTTCTACCCTACGCTTTACAGAGATATGGACAAACCACCACGTCAATGACACACAAGGTCGAGACTTGGCAAATGGCAATAAAACATTAAACGGCCTTTAGAAGCTTTCAGAGGCCAAAAATATCTCTATTTCTATTTACTCCGGCGCTTACGTGGTCATCATAATCTTCTATTAACAGTACAATTTTGACACTTTTCTTAATTAGTAAATTAAGAAGTAATTACCATGTTGACAACCAATTGACACGTTACAAAAGCCCGCACGCTTGTTTTGTATATTCAATTTAGCATCAAATATGCGTTTGAGGTTTCTATTTAAAAATTAAATCCTGCATACAGTGTGGAAATTTGTCAGTATGACCAAAAACAAAATTGTCAGTATGCAACATGTGGAGAATGCAGAGAAGATTGCCAAATACTTACCCATATTTGTAGTTTATACCAACATAATAAATACATAATATATATATA